GATTAGAAAATGAGAAAAATAAAAAGCTACAGGAATTTGGAAGGGGCATTTCTTCCACAGGGAGGAATTGGGGACGACTGTGGAGTCTGCTTTGAAGCTAAATCACCATATAAATCTGTAACAAATTTCACCATGAAAGTATCTTTGGAATTATTTGTTTTGGGGCCTTGGCCTTACCCCTTGTCCCTTTCACAGTGTCTTCTCCATATTTAAAAGCAGTGTGCCCCTCTGAGGTTGGGCTTTAGCTAAGCCTTGCTCACCTGGTCTCCCAGGCAGGGTGGTGGGATTGCAGGAGGTGGGAATGCAGGGGGTGGGAATGCAGGGGGTGGGAATGCAGGGTGTAATGCAATGAGGTGAATGTAGAGGGCGGAATGTAGGGAGTGAGAATGCAGGGAGTGGAATGTAGGAGGAGGAAGATAGGGTGGGAATGCAGGAGGTGGAATGTAGGTGGGAATGAATGAGGATGGGAATGTAGGTGGGAATGTAGGGGGGTGGGAATGTAGGGGTGGAGACTATAGGGTTAAGATAGGGGGTGGGAATGCAGGAGGGTGGGAATGCAGGGGAGTGAGAATCCAGGGGAGTGGGAATGCAGGAGGTGGGAATGTAGGGGGGTAGGAATGTAGGGGGTGGGAATGTAGGGGGTGGGAAGATAGGGGGTGGGAATGCAGGAGTGTGGGAATGCAGGGGAGTGAGAATGCAGGGGAGTGGGAATGTAGGAGATGGGAAGATAGGGGGTGGGAATGCAGGAGGTGGGAATGCAGGGGGGTGGGAATGCAGGAGGTGGGAATGCAGGAGGGTGGGAATGCAGGAGGGTGGGAATGCAGGGGAGTGGGAATGTAGGGGGTGGGAATGCAGGAGGTGGGAATGCAGGAGGGTGGGAATGCAGGGGAGTGGAAATGTAGGGGGTGGGAATATAGGAGGTGGGAATACAGGAGGGTGGGAATGCAGGGGAGTGGGAATATAGGGGGTGGGAATGCAGGAGGTAGGAATGCAGGGGACTGGGAATGCAGGGGAGTGGGAATGTAGGGGGTAGGAATGCAGGGGACTGGGAATGCAGGGGAGTGGGAATGTAGGGGGTGGGAAGATAGTGGGTGGGAAGGCAGGAGGTGGGAATGCAGGAGCAGCATCTCAACAGGAGGGCCCAGCCTCAAGCTCTGCAGAGTTCAGTTTTGCTGCCCAGGCCATGCCCACCCACTCCTGCCTGCTCTGGTGTCTAGTGGGAATAAGACCATCTTTGGTGCAGTGTAGCTCTGCATCTCATGGGACACATGAGGCCCAAGAAACTGGGGTTTTGTATTTAGTTTATAACTTAAAATTGTGGAAGTTGAGTTTTAGCCTTTGAGGCAGCCAAAAATGGTCTTCATCATAGAAAATGGTTCTTGACGGCACAAGATTTTTCCAGAATTATCAGCAAACAAGGGGAAAAAATTCTAACTTTGCAAAAGAGTTAATTGGGACCTGACGAGGCAAACAGTCAAGAGATGGTGCTATTAGTATGTACCAGGAAGTAAGTTTTTTTCAGGCTAAGAGCTGCCACCTGTCAAGGTGGTTTAAATCAGGATTTTGGCAAAAGCATATAATTATGATAGTCAATAAATGTGAGTGAAACTCAGTCTCCTATACATACCCGATTTAGGAATGTAGTCATTAAGCCGCTACACTGTGACTCAGCTCAGAAGACACTAGAGAAAAAATGATTTAACTCACTAAGAGATATGAAAGTTTTCTTCCAGATTGCTAACCCACAGCAAAATTGGCCAATACATGGGAGAGAAGCCAAACTATAATTTTTGCATTTTCTCTTCATCTTTACTGTAAAAGATTTTGACTTGGAAGGAGCTTAGTGTAGCACTTCCCAGGAAAAGAAAATCAACAGCATTGATATATGTGTGATTCTATAGCACTGGACCCAGAACTGCTTATAATAATCTTATCTCTAGGGGAGGAAATGGAATTCATGAGTGATTATGTTGAAACATGCCTATAGACTTAATATGACTTACATGTCTCTTAAGGAAAATATAAATTGTAAGAGAGGAAAAGTTCTGACTTTAGTTCTTGGATCTGCCACTGATTTAGCATAAAGCCTTGGACCAAACTTTGTGTCTCAGATTTTCCATAGATGAGATTGCTACCATGAATGTGTCTGAGACCTTGTAATCATTTTTAAACTTATTTTTAAATTTAAACCCTCTGAGGAAGTTTGGCTTCACAGAAAATAAAAAGACATAAAGCAGAACTGATTCAAGCCCTCCAAGACATTGGCAGATGCTACCAAAGAGGATTTTTAGACATTAAGAGCATTCAATCTCCCTTTAAAGCTTGTTTCATCTTTCAATAAGTTATTCTTATGGTTTAAATATTCTTTCCTGATTTAAATTTTTTCTGGTTCCTTGAATTCTATCCATTCTCAAAGTAGAAAACAATGTTATCCTGCTCCTTGCAACATAAGAATTCATTATTAAAACTGACTTAATTTTCTTGAAGACTAGTATTTATTGAGCGCTTACTATGTTCTAACTATGATGCTTGGGAAGGGGATGTAAAAGCTAGCACAATTCCAGACAATTCGAGACAGACCTATTGCATTCTTATTGAAAAGTGTATTGGATCTGCAATTTGAGACCTCCTATGCCAATCATTCAAAGGGAAATTCGCTTCTCACCACCCTGAGCAAGCCCCCACTGCTTGATCACCTCCAGTCTCCAAGCTGTCTTCTGACAGACAAGCTGCTCCTTCCAATTTTTGCCATCACTTGGTTGCTAGACAAGACAGATTTGCATGCAAAGTTAGGCACAATACAGGAATGAGTCAAATACTGTAAGTGCTGAATCAGTTGAAAAAGACAAGTTCTTCATGAGATCAAAGGAGGAATCACTGTTGGGTGTTGTGGTCAGGAAAAGATGATTTGGGGTTAAATAAATATATTTTAGTTTTTCTCAAAGTATAATACAATTGTACATCTTTATATTATTGATGTCATATGCAAATCCCAATAATAGTTAACATTTATTTTATTCTTTTTAATAGCTTTAGAATTTTTAAAAATTGACAAATAAAAATTATATATTTATGGAGTACAACATGATGTTTGATATATGTATACATTGTGGAATGGTTAAATCAAGCTAGTTAACATATTTATTACCTCACATATTTATTATTTTTTGCACTGAAAACATTTAAAATCTACTCTTTTAACAATTTTCAAGTGTACAATACATTGGTTAACTATAGTAACCATGTTGTACAATAGATCTTTTGAACTTTTTCCGCCTAACTGGGAAAAAAAAAAAAAAGGAATGCTTTACAAATTTGTGTGTCATCCTTGTGCAGAGGCCAAGCTAATCTTCTTTGTATCATTCCAATTTTAGTATATGTGCTGCCAAAGTAAACACTGGCTCATTTTTATTGAGTGCTTACTATGTGCCAAGCATTAACCAATGTGCATACTTCCTCTCAACACTGTATTTAAAACTTTATAGATAACTAAAGAATCTATTTTTCCTAGGAGCCATATCAGGACTGTATGTGTGTGTGTGTGTATGTATATAATTTCATGTAATCCACATAACCACCATTGGATATGGGTGCTATTAACCCTTATGATTACCCAAGGAGGTTTGGGGAGGTTCAGTAACCCAGACAGTGGCAGAGCCGTGCTTCTGAACCTATTCTGTATGTTGCTACAGTTCTGGTCTCATCTGCTATGTTGAACTGCCACTCCTGAAAATTTTCCCTGTTCTGTTAACTTGCTAAAGAAAATAGCTGGCTAACTAGTTCTTTCTAGTCTTCTTTAGGGCTAAGACAAGAGAAAATTGGCATAAGCAGTGGGAGAGAAGCCCACTGGTGATGAACTGATCCAGCAGCCCAGGTCCTTTCCTCAGTCCTGAGAGGAAAATGACATGTAGTCCAATGGACATCCATTTTTATGTATAAATAAGGAATGTCTCACTAGCAACCCTAATCCACTCGGGTTACTAAAATCTAGCATTTATAACTAAAATGAATGGTAAACTATCATTTACTGAGGTCTCTAATTTAGTACTCTAAGAACTTGAGCTGCTTCACAACGAGGCAAAATCTTTAGAGTAACTAAACGCATGTAAATAGTTGTAATTCTTAAAATTTGAGGGAGGGACTTTCCTTATAAGTGTTATCTTGAATTGGTCATGGTTTCCAATTTCTACTCCTCTTGATTTATTAATATAATTTTACAATTACTGTTAAGTTTACTTTTGTAAATCATTTGGTCCTTGTATAACTGCTGAGTTATAAACTTTTAACTGTTATTTCCTCATGGATTCTTATCACTCAGTTCTTTTTATAATGAAAAGTAGGAATGAAAGTTAAGAAATGCTGATATGAAGGGAAGAACTTCTAATGATTTCCAGGCCTTTTTCTAGCCCTCGAAATTTCAGATGAACATTTTCACATTTCAAAACAATGCTAGAGAGTAGGTATAATATTCCCTAATTTAAAGAAGAGAAAACTGAGGCTCAGAAAAGTTAAGTGACTTGCTAAGATTTCAGAGGTAATAAGTGGTAGAAATGAAATTAAAACTCAGGTCTGTCTGAGTCCAAACAATGTGCTTTTCTCATTACATTCTACTGTCAAACCCTGGAGTGTTTGCCATCTAGTCTTACCTCTAGATTTCTTTTCGTCCACTCATTTGGCTGAATATAACTCTAATCATTACTAAGTAAGTAAAATATCCTTAGCGCTAACTTCTAGAAAACTAAATTTTGTTAGCAGGAATTTAAATATTATTCAGCTATTAAGCTGGTGTGTAATTATCTTTTGCTATAAAGAGATTTTGGATGTAGTATGTCTTCCCTTTTTTTTGATATCAATATGTAAAATCTGTATTTCAGGGACTAAAATGTATTAATATATCAAGTAAACTGCTATTGGTAAGATGGCTCTAGATGTATACAACATTTGAGTAAAGATGAAGAAAAAGAAAAGAAAAAAACCTTTGACCTTGGAATTTCTTGCAGGGATTCTGCAAAAACTCACTGATCTTGGAACTCTTGGATGTCTCTTACTGCACCCAGCTGTCAGATGATATTATTAACACATTGTCCATTTACTGTGATAAGCTCACGTATCTCAACATTGCTGGCTGTCCAAAGGTATGTGCAGGAGTCAGAGCTCAGACATGTCAAATTTAAGCACTGCCAAGAAACCCAGGCAGGACAGCACTCCAGGGGCTGTACTCATCATAGAACTTGTTTTCTTTGCCATGTTTGAAGCATTCATTAGATTTTTTTTTCTATCTCCAAATTGGAAATAGTTTTATGAATTCATTTGTGTCAAAGTAGAATTTTCCAAAAGGTAAGAACATAATTCTCATGTGTTAAAGATTTATTTAATTCATTAATGAGAAAACCAGCAAAATGATAAAGCCAGTGTGTAAAATGTCTGATGAAATTAGTATTTATAGGAACTGATGACAGAATGTTGGATTACGATTGTTAAGTTAGATCTAAAATTGGTAAATGTCCTACAAGGCAATAAAACCATAACCTTGGGGTAAACTAACTACCAGAAATATCAATAATGTCTGTCCTGGACAAAAATATAACAAGGTATTATAACATGTAATTTCATTGAGTTGAGGCCTTAATTAATAATAAATAGTATGTTAAACAATGGCATGATTTCCTATAGAATTCCTTAGGTGGGCCTGTTAAATAATGTTCCAGTTTGATATTACAATGACATATAATCATCTTCTGTCTTACTTTTAAGTGTTTGATAATTTTTCTAGACATCAGTGTACAAATGAAATATGTACTCATTGTGAAAAACCTGGACTACATATAAAAGCTTAAAGGAGAAAGTAAAGATCTGCTGCCCTACCACCACCTAGATATAACCATTGTTGGCATTTTATACTTATTCTTCTAGAATTTTTTCTATGCCCAAAGAGATTGTAAATAGTTATAGGAGGCTTATGTTTTGCCTTGTTTTTTAAAGAATAGAATCATACTCCCTGAAATATATTGTAACCTGGCTTCCTTTCTCTTAATATATCATAGGCATATCTCCATGTCAAGAAATAGAGATCTTGGGTTCTAGATTAATACAGCAGATTGAGTATATATATATAATTTTCTTCCTCTTGAAACCCTACCAAAACTGCAGATGAAGAGTGAGGGCCCATGTGGATAAGGAAAACAGGAGAGGAGATAAGAGCAACAAAATTTTGGAAGCTTGAAAATAGATGAACTAATTTAGCAGATCAGAGACAGCTTTAAATCCTAAGCCAATAGTAGAGAAAGCTGGGGAAAAAATCCGATTTACACCACAATCTTAAACTTGGCAGTATAGCTCTGAAATAGGGTTGGGAGGGGGGCTAAAATAAGGAAGACTGAATTAAAGATTCTTGAGAAGTAGATAGATCACGAAATCCCTTCCCCTACTCAACACCTCTGAGCAACTGTCCCTCCTCATCCCAAACAGAAGCCTGAGATTTATTTCCTAAACCCTGACAGTATTGATATTTTGGACAAGATAATGCTTTGTAGTGGGGGGTTGTCCTGTGCACTGTAGGATGGTTAACAGCATCCCTGCCTTCTTCTCACTAGATATGAGAAGCACCTACCCCTCTGTACCTCTAATCAAAAATGTCTCGAGACATTGCCCAATGTTCCCTGGGCTGCAAAAATCACTCCTGATAGAGACCCACTGCTCTAGAGATAGTAAAACAGAGGGTTGCTGGGCCAATTAAGTGACTGAATACTGAGAGCAGAGACACTCAAGCACTTTTTCCAACTCAGCATTCAGAACTTGGAAGCCTGATCTTTTCCTCCAGGCAAGAGATTGGTAGCCTCTTCTCTGGGTACTCTAACTAACCCAAGATAAAAGACCTGAAATTACTGACAATGAGGTTTTCCCCAAAACCCACCTAGACCATCCTTCACTGAAGCGTGTAGTAGAGAAGCCCCACACCATGTACTCAGACCTTCCAATCGGTTTTTAGTCCTCCACCATTAATTGTAAACAGGCAGTCAAGGATTACCAGACATAAGAGGAAAGTCTCTAATGTGGAAGATAATGACCAAAACAAATTAACAGGAAAAACTTGGAGTTAGCAAAAATATGAAGGAAGAAAACTAAACAGTCTTTTTAAAAATCCTCAGAAATTGCAAGGTTATTAACAACCTTGTTCTCTTCTATCATGCATACCACTGAGATTTTATTTGCTGCAGCATCACCCCAACTCTCAAGATACCCTACATTCTATTTAATCTAGAAATTCAGCTTCTACGTTGTTTAGTTTGTGTGGTGAGTGGATTAAATCTCCCACAGCTAAATGTGCTGCAATAAAGAAGAGGAGGCAGTAGAGGACAAGATGTCATGAACCATGACAAAATTAAGCCAGCCAAGTTCACAGCAAAATTAGTTTTGTTTAATAATGTACTAGTTTAAAACTAGGGAAACCAGATGTCTTTCTGGTCTGCATCACCTGGTTCTAGAAGTGAGCGAGGTCCAGGAACCCAGCACACTAGCAGCACTGACCAGCTGACTCTGAAGCTTGAGCAGCGAGAGCTCACGGGGGTTCCTAACTGCACAGCACACGGACACATGGGCAGCACATGGCTCGCTGGGAACTGCCCCAGCTGTAAAACAGGCACAGATGGAGACTAGGCTTTCTAGCGGCTCTAACTAAGGAAGAAAGTAGGAAAATGAGAAAAGGAGAGCCTCCAATGAGGACAGAAAATAGGGCAGAGGCTTTTTTGTTTTGTTTTGTTTTGTTTTGCTTTGGTTTTGCTTTTTGGTAAGAAGCAGCTGAGGGAATTCCTTCTATAAACTGTGCAGTGGATACTGTCTTGCAGCCTGAGGGAGATGTTAACAAAGAATATGTCATGATACATACATAGCTCTGCATCAAAGGTTTAAGGAGAGAAAAAGGAAGGGGGGAGTGGATTATTTCAGAAGCCCAATGTAAAGGAGTAGCGGGGTTTAGCGTTACCATCTGAGTTGTTCTAGTCAGATTGTGGGTCAGTTGAGTATCCTGATGTGGAACACATGATGAGCATTATTTGGGCCAATATGAATACTCTTCACCTTACCTCACTTCATCTCACCCAGAAGTCATAAGGCTGTGATCCAGCCTAACGTTGTTACACTTATTTTTTTAAATGATAAAAAGACAGATGTTTCCTTTATTTTTTATATTATTATTATTTTATTTCAAAATATTAAGGGGTACAAATATTTTTGTGACATGAATACCTTGTATATAAGGCTTAAGTCAGGGCTTTTAGTGTGCCCATCACCAGAACACTGTTCAATGTACCCAGTAGATAAGTTTTTACACCTCACCTCCTCACACTGTCCCCCTTTCTTGATTTCCAATGTCCTTTACATCTCTTTGTGCTGGTGTGTACTTATTGTCTAGCTCCCAATTATTAGTGAGTGCATGTGGCGTTTGTTTTTCCATTCCTGAGATACTTCACTTAGGATAATGGTCTCTAGTTCCATCCAAGTTGCTGCAATTACATTGCTATTGACAAGCCTTAAAACACATTAGTGTCTGGCTCATCATTCCATGTCCAGTTTCCCAAAAGCCCACAGTGAATTTTGAATGGTCACCTTGACCATCCCTAGAAGGCCAGCTCTTCCTGCCACCACCTCACCTCCAAGGTCAGTCAGTAGAACTGTGACCTTATCGTAGCCAGCACTAAAATGACAAGGAAGGCAAATGTAGCTCCAAATCAGGAAAAAAGCGGGTTGCTATGGGCCCAGCTCTAAGCCTTCAGCAGTGCACAAGGCCCTGTTAACACTGTCATCTTTGACCTCATGATATTGGTGTGAGATAGGAGTTAGTAATCATTAAAAAGAAAGAAAAGGGGGGTGGGAAATGAGAAAAATTAAAGTAAATCCATGAACAATAATGACAAAATTATTTCTGCAATGCACCCTTGAGGGAGTTAAGTAAGTTAAAACAGGCCAGGGATTTAGAACTGCATTTCCATCTGTTTTGAAGGTGTAGGTGATGTGAAGCAGGCTCTCTGTGCACCAGTTACTAACTTGTCTGAGTCTGGGGAGAACAGAACACGCTCATATGCAGCAAGTTACATGAAGCAGATATATTACTTATGGATAGGTAGCAAGGCACAGCGAAGCCTAGGATTCATCGAGAGCCAGTTCCCCAAGGCTCAGGAAAGCTGCCCAAGGTGGATGAAGTCTCAACTGTTCATGCTCCACTTGCACCACAGCTGAGAGGCTCTGGAAAGTAGCCGCCTTGGGTTTTATAGCCTAGGGTCCATAATACTTTCTGGGCTAAAGCACTGAAGAACATCCTGTTTCTAGAGGGGACTGGAACAGCCCAGCTAGCTGTTTCAGCCAGTGCCCAGCCTCAACCCCTCATCTCAGGATGTTGTATTTCCAGAACATTCTATAGCTATTCTTGAGAATGACAAGCTAATATATATAATATATATAACATAAAAGGGAGAGAACTAGGTGGTCCAAGGCCACCCAAAGAACTGTCCTGGGGTCCTGGGCCCAGGTAAAGCTACACGACCTTGTGGGGTTGAGAAGGGGATGGGAGAAAGTCCCAGGGCATGCACAGAATTTCTTTCATACTAATATGGTAAAACATTTTACCCAAAAATTTGTCAGAAATGTCTCTAGAGCCTTGATAACACTGGGAGATGAGAGTTAACAATACTTTTGTATGGTTTTAATTACTGTCATTTTACAGATGGGGAAATTAAGAATGGAATGATATAGGACATAGGGCAAATGACTCAATGTTTCATGAAGTAACTTAAATTCCAGTTCCACAGACTTGCAGTATAAAGTGAGAGGAGTAGGCTATTTGTTGATTCTGGGATTCCTTATGACAATCCTACCCTTTTAAACCTATATTTTCTTAGTGCAGCTGGCTAACATGTTTGGAAATTATTTCAGCTTAGAGGTTTCAAAGTGGCCATGAGGAAAATCAATTAGAGGTTTCAAAATGGTCACAAAGAAATGATCAATCGATCATACGTTAGTTACCATGTATTACAAAAGGTGAGATTCTTGGCACATGGTGTTGGCTAATGTGTTGCTTATTTATTGCTGTGTAACTAGTCACTCCAAAACTCAGTGGCTTGAAACAACTACCATTTTATTT